GTAACAACAAAGAACAAGAGCTGATTTGAAGGACTGGAGAAACCACAGTTTTGCTGGTAGGGTGTTGATATCTAAATGTATAGTTTATTCATCAAACTGAACATTTTACAGACAATGACACTTGAAGATACCCCCCTCACACACACACACACACACACATCCAACTTCTAAACAATTAAAAAAAATAAATAACATAATCACATTTTGAAATAACCCCTCAATCTCTTGAAAACTCCTTTTTTAAATTTAAATTGAAGGTCTTAATTTAGGCTCAAATATCAACATCGTTTAAAGGTTTAAAAAATGTTATTTGAAGATGAACAAGGTAGCAGATTTTCTTTTCCCTCCCTAGATGAGACATTTAGATGGGACATTAGTGAATTCAAAGTGAAAATTATCTTATTTTATCAAAGATATTTTATAATATTTCTGACAGCAGCAAATGTCCATTTTTAAATTTTGTGTATTAAACTTGTTTCGTTTGGATAAACCAGGTTGAAAAATCACTGTGCTTTAGAAATGTGGGTTTCTTACCACTAGATGGCAGAGCTGTCCTATTGGGTGCTTGTACTTTTGCACTGTGACCCACACTGTGGTCCAGAGAAGAAGTGAGGGATCTAAAACATTAGCAAAGCTCATAGCTGCCTGAAAACATGTGGGGAAGAAAATCACATCGTACTGTAAACTCGGTGTGAGTCACAGTGAGCGACGCCAGGTTGATATAAGAATACCAAACATCTTATTTTTTTTTTCAAATGTGTGAAATGTGATCTTCAGCAGCACTTGGGCATTAGGGTTAGATGTGGGCAATTGGCTGTGGCTGCACAGTCACTGTTGTTACAGTCATTTAGTTGTGAGAAGGGAAACCAAATATAAACAGTGGTGCTATAAAGCCAAGTGCCATTGTCACCCAGCTTTTCAAACTCACACTACCATGATCAACAATACACAGCGTCGTGTCATCACAAATGCTCCACTGTCTGGGAATACTGTGAGGAAATAGACTCACTGTCAAGCTTGTATTAATGAGCAATATATGTAGTGTCATAGAAACATGAGTCGTAAATAAGTCCACAGGAGAAGAGGGGTGATAAAAATGTAGAGAAGAGATTTGGACATTAAAGTGCTACCAGATCTCCTCTACACACACAGAGCCACTTAAATCGGAACATCCAAGCCTGGATTGACCAGCAACACAAAGATCCTATTTGCAGCCAGTTAAGATAATGTTTACTGCAGACAGTCGTCTGACTGGGTTTTCCTCTTCAGCTCCCTGCAATGAATTTGATTTTGGTTGCTCCACACAGGCATGAGACAGAGGTTGACATTTGAGCCTGCAAAGAGGATAAATGTTTGCAGAGCACATGCGTAAAGCTGCAGTGTTAGGAGTTAGGAGTGCCTGTGTATATTCCATTGGAGATACGCCCTGGAGAAATCCTGCTTCAGTATTTAAATGTCACAAAGCTCATAGACACTGTGGAATAAACGATAAGGAGTGGAAAGGATGAGTGGAGGAGGACAGGAGTATAAACAAGAGCTCTCCTAGCTGAAGTTACTGTTAGAACTTAGTAAACTGTCACAATAGGTTGAGATACCTGCACTCAGTTGAGGTAGTGCATTACTTTCTCATCATAAGTATATTTATGTCCAGGGGTGCACACAAGTGGACACAAAAGACAGCATATTCTGCACCACATCTTTGTGTGTTCATCATTTGTTTGAAGCCAGCTCACCTCCTCCAACCACTTTTCCGAGAATACGTGCTTCTTTTGTGGTTCGGGCTTCTTCTGACATTTCTTTGGAGGTGGAGGAACACCAAAGTAATTACTTAAAGGAGCTTGCTTCTTCGACATCTTTAGGAGTTCTAAACAAAGGTCTGTCCTCCTCCAGAAAATCTTATGTACGCAAAGGCGCGTTGCAACGTCTTATCTAGTGCATGTGTTTTATGTAGAGAGCGAATGCGCACCTGCGGACCACTTATGTGCAGCCCTGTTTATGTCACTTATATTTTTATCCTGTGGACTGGCTGTCTGTTTTCTTATTAAACAAAATTGAACAATTATTTTGCTGGCATCCCCCATCTATGAAGTTGCTTAAAAAAATGTATCAATTACCTATCATTTAAAAATCATTTGAAATGTAAATAATTGACAGGAAAAGTAACACTATTATTTATTACAGCAAACAAGCAAAAGACGTTTCAGTATGTTTGCTTTAAAGGTTTTCAAATAATAAGAAATACAGGTAATATACTTGTGTCATCATCTGATTCAGCCGCAACATACCTGCAAAATATAAACAGTAAAGCTTATAAATCTGGATACTGCCCCTCAGTAAGCTTCCAGAAACTGGACAATCAGAAGAATGTGGGTTTTTGAGAGGGAGCGGTTAAAGAGCATGAGCAGCTTGTTTCAGATAGTGGATGAACTAAGGAACTGCATAAAGGGTTGGTGTAAGATAAGCAGGTCAAGTTTTTTTTTTTTTTTTTTAAAGGGAAATCATATAAAGTTACTCTCTTAGTTACTGTAGTTACTCTGAAGTTACTCTACTCCCAGAATGGACATATGGAGCTGTGTACATGGGGTCTTTCCGGGTACTCCGGCTTCAGTTAGTGGGGTTAGGTTAATTGGTAACTGTGTCTATATGTCAGCCCTGTGACAGACTGGCGACCTGTCCAGGGTGTACCCTGCTTCTTGCCCTGGGATAGGCTCCAAATGAATGAGTGACCAAGAAAGGGAAACAATAAAAACAATAAAAATAGATTACACAACAGGTTCTGCTTCCTGATACGTTGTACCAACTATACAGTGAGTGATGGCTACGAGATCAAATAGTGGTATGACCAAGTGGCTGCCTCTGAAACTTAAAAATGAAGTTCCTGAAAGACTGCACGTCCTCTAGTGGCCACTTGAGGCACCAGAAAGCAAGTAGCTCCCAACAGACGCTCCCGTTAGAATGCCTAACTTTTGAGCATTAACAAGAATGTTTACAGCCTATGGGTGGTTTCCTGCTTCATAAGAACTTTACAGGGGGTTGAATGCAATAACTTTTCCACAAAGCTACCTGGACTTAGCACTCCACTTTTTCTTCCATATAAGCTTCTGGTTCCATGAAATCCACGTGCCAGCAACCAAAACACTAACATCAAACCTTCAAAATGTGTAGTCCAAAATGAGTGGGTCAAATGCCCATAGGCTTTCTATCTACAGATATCTATAGTTTGACAATCTATTACAGACTGTAGCAGTGCTAACCATAACCAAAGACACAGATACCCTTGTAACCACAATGTAGACACGCATTACAGCACAGGAACAGCTGTAATTTACCAGTAGCTGTGTGCAAGTGACCTCTCAGTCATGCAAGTAACTGCCAAGAGACATTAATTTGCTCATAAGGGTATAAAACCACTTTACCTAAAACAGAAGGGAAGAAGTTCAACAAGTCAGTATACTGCAGTGTGAAAATATGAGTGGATTAAACTAAAAGAAAAGTTGTTAGACAGGAATTAGCCAGCTCAGTGCTTTTCTGCAAAGTAGTCAGCATGTCATTCTCTTTTGTATTCACATTTTGCAGCAAAGCTTTTCATATAATTGCTCTTGTTGAGGCATAGAAATTTTGAAAAAAACACCATCCGTTAAAAGTGTTCTTTGTGGGGCAGGAGGACAGGGCGGTCATGTTAAATCTGTGAAAAAAAAGCTCCATAAATAAAAGTTCTAAACATGCTGTAAATCTGACAGTCTCAAAGCTGCTCGGCCGCTCCACCTCACTGTCTACTACACTTGTAAAAAATCTCCAGCATCTGTTTCCCGTTACCTTGGAGATGTTGTTTCTTCAGTCTGTCCGGTTTACAGCAGACCGGCCCCATGGCTGAGTGAGCGGCGTGGGCTGGGGCAGGCGCTGCCTCCGGCCTAAAGCTAGAGCTCGAAGGAGTGGCTCCTCCTCCACCACCGAGTCCGTTTGGAAGCAGATCAGTACGCAGGTAGCACCGATGGCCAGAACCTGCCAGCGAGGCATGCTCGATGCCAGCGGAAACTAAACCCCGTCAAATGACCCCAGCCTCTTACTCCTCACTCGTTTATTCTGCCCTTCCATTCACTCCTCTCTTCCTGTCTCTCACATTCAGCAGTGTGGGCAGCAGGTCCTTTCCCTCAGCCCCCCTGGGGAGAAGCAAATCCCTGAGGAGGAGTGTAACAAGTCTCTCTCTCTCTCTTTCTGAGTGTGCAGTATCTGGGAGATGGGCTGTCCTCCAGTCTTTGTCAAACAAACCCGTACACACACACACACACACACACATACACACACATATACAAAGAGAAATGGGGCAGTTCCTATCAGGCTCTGTGAGACAGATTCTTCCTTAAATGAGACAGAACAAAAAATATGTTACTGATACATATCCCTTTTACAAACTATTCTAGACATTTCTGAAGCTGGTTGCAATTTCAGAAAACTTTAGGAAGATGTGTTGTTCTGTCTTGTAAAATGTCTCTTGAGCAATTTAACCAGCCAATATGAGACCATGTATTCTGTTGACAGAAAAGAAGCAAAAAAGAAAACACAAGCATATTTTTCATACCCGCTGCTATAAAATACTGTTAATGTGATGCATCTTGCATGCATCTGACTCATTTAAAGTCAGAGAGAATCAACATGGGACCCAACATGTAGCTGTGTTAATGTTACAAAGGTCAAAGTGTAAAGAGAACTGGTTCTTTACTTGCAGTCAGACATTTAGGGTTGCCATATGAGGCAAAATGGCTTTTCAAACACACAAAAATCCTATGTGTGTGTGTCTGTGTGTATTATTCATCCATGGGTGATGTACTGTGTGAGCAACTAGTCCACAGCAATGAATTGGCAGAAGTGATCACATTTGCACAGCCGCAATTGCGCGTGCTCTTGTCCAGGTGGCTTATCATTGCGCCGCACCGCCAGAATAAAGGGTTAATATCCCCGAGCCCGCCGTTAAGTTAAAAAAGAATAATTTAAGATATCTACTTATTTGCTTATTTCCCTCATGCCTGTAGGCTTTAAGACAAGCTCAATCCAGACTCAGGCACATGACTGTTGAATCGGCTTTGTTTGGGTGCGCTGCTAGCTTTGTCTCGAGTACACACTGATTTAAAAAAAAAAAAAACATAATAGAAGCCCAGTTTTTAATTGCAGGCATGCAGAACTACTCATGTTATTTCAGACAAATGCCAAAAGGAATTTGGTGTTTTTTCTGCTTCCACTCAAGTGACATTTAAGAGAGGGCTGTCTGCAGAGATGCAGGATAAATGCAGGCTGGTTATGACTTTGATGTTTCACATTTGTCAAACACTGAAAAGCATTCAGCAGCACTTGCTTGCTTGCATGGGGGGTTATTGTGTTGCTAGTGTCTGCCTTGTGTCTACCTTTTCCAATACGGTTGGCTACTTAGCACCACAAAAAAGAATGACCAGTAGATTTACTCTGCGGCCAGACACACACACACACACACACACACACACACACACAAACGTAGTCTTGCCAGAGCAGAGTCTATCAGTCAATGACATGACCCAGATGAAAAGCCAAGGTCTCTGGGCTCCCTTGAAAGACAAGGCTACTATTACAGCAGACAAAAGAGTGCTGAAAGTGAAGGAAAACCAGGCGCTGATTTATCAGCACTGATAGAAAAGTCCCCACCTTCATTTCTGGTCTGACCTCATATCGAGGGGTTACCAGTACAGAAGTCCCAAACAGCTGCAGTGCGTGTGGGTTGCACTGCTGCTCATGACTGCCTGTTGCAAACAGATGTAGTTCAAAATGGTTCACTTTTAAACCTTTAAATACAAATGATTCATTTTCCAGCCAGAAATAAAAGATGAACCTAATGTGAGGGAACATTGAGATCCATGCACTATTTAACCATTTTAAATGGGAGAGTGAATTTGGGCTGCAATCTGTTTGTCTTTTTCTCAAATCTGTTTGTGTACAAATCATAAAAACTGAAAAAACTATGGATACTGACAATAATTTGACCATAAAATATGTTTGATTCAGTTCATCTTTATTACATATTGGACAATAATGCAGCCCCTCAGGTCATCTTCTACCTGAAACAAGCTTGTTAACCCTTCCCATTTAACCCTCTGAACTGTAAATCATCATAGGTGTTGATGCTAGCCCTACCCATACTCTAATCTCATATTCTGAGGTTTTCTTTGTTCCCTGATTTCCAGCTCAACAAAAAATCTGCTTGCCTGGAATTAGAGGTAGGGCTAGCGTTAGGGTTTTCTTTGATGATTATACTTTCTATATTTGCAAGTCCATTAGAGGGTCTGAGTTATGTAAATTTTGTCATTGGGCGATGAGGGTCCGTGCGGACCACATGCTTCCTTGGTTTTTGTGACCACATAGACTTGTCTGCGGAGAATTTCCGTTACAATGGACAAACTACACATGCTCCCCGGGTGGTGGACTTCAAAGAAATATAACAGAAATGACTACTCTGCAATCAGGTCTCCAGCTGTCTGCAGTGGAGGAAAATCAAGGCTTTAGACTTCTGAAGGTTAAAGGTCCTGATCCTATGCTTTACAGGCCCAACTATCAACGTGGGAACATAAATCCCCCATGAGGCCACCCCACCCCTTTGAATCCAGGTTTCTTCTGATTGGCTGTCCCTCACTAAAAGAACATTTGAACTCCAGGTGGGTGAGGCTGTTGCGCTCACAACCAGATCTGTGTGGCTGATGTGAGCATCTTACATATATATACACATATATATGTGTGTGTGTAATTGCTTAGAATCAGAATACTTTAATAATCCCTAAGGAAATTATGGCAAAATTATGGAAAGCATTTTCAGTGCTCAGAGTGAGTAGGAAAGTGCTATACCAGCCCATTTATATAGAATATGACTGAAAATTAGGAAACTCACAATAAAAATACCCTGAAAAAAATTAGCTGCCACCTAATTAACTAACAGATTAACATTTTTAGGTCTCTGCTCTATGTAAACGTATGCAAATGTAAATTTTACAAAAGACAAAAATCCTGTTTATTGTATAACAGAGACTACAACATAGCAACACGGCACTCCACTGTATATGTTATAGTGGCGAATCACTGTTCAGTGAGCTCATTATTGTATGTTTCAAGAGGGACTGCTCTGTGAAATTGGCTGCACACATGGTCAGACACATTAATGATTGCTTTAGAAATGAGAGGAAGCATCATTTTAACACAAGGTAAAGACTCAAATCTCCAAGCCTATTCATTTCATACTAACGGGAGCGTGTAAACCTTCATCACACTAAGCCGATTACAGGCTGGAGGAAGAAAGGGCATGCTAACACGTGCTTCTGCGCTGAGCAGACAACAAATCTAACGTGATGTAAACAGCAGATGGAGTCGTCATAAATTATGGACAGGAGGGAAAACATAACTTATACAGACTGATCCCGATAAGCTTTTATTACAGTTAGAATCCGGCAGGATGTGGACTGTGGATGTGACTAACTTCCACACTCAGCATGTACACACCTAACATGAACTGAATTTCTTTGGAGTCTTGTGGTTCCTGCATCCTTCTAAATTATATTTGTCTCCTTTGACTGACCTCCTCTCCTCTTTCTTTACACTCTTCTCCTGCCTTCTGTGCTTCTTACAGTCCTCTCACATGTTGGGGTTCTTAAGACTTTTCTGGGGTTCACACCCGTCTGCAATATTGACTGGCCTTAAACAAACCACATAGACACTCACAAGCCTGTCGGCCAGTCTAAACAGAAGAAAGGATCTCCAAGCAAACACCACAGAATGAGTAATAAACAGTCAAACTATTACAGAGGTCATTTGCAGTATGGATTAGAGCAGCGGTCCCCAACTACCGGTCCGTGAGTCGTTTGGTACCGGGCCGCGAGAGTTGAGGCTCAGGTGTAAAATGTGTGGTTTTCAGGGTTTTTATTGGTTTTCAGTGTTATTTTGTTATCGTTTTTATCGTTAACTCGATTTTCCTGGGTCTTTGGGTCGTGTGTTATGAATAAATCTTCTTTTTTTCGGTACCGGTACTAGTTTTATTTTGTTGTATTTATCCGCGACACCTTAAAGGCCGGTCCGTGAAAATATTGTCGGGCATAAACCGGTCCGTGGCGCAAAAAAGGTTGGGGACCGCTGGATTAGAAAACCCGATTTAGAGACCTGTAGCTCTGTGGCTGTTTAGTTGTGGCCCATTTTTATACGCATATCTTCTTAGATATGTCTTAATACACACTTTAAACTGCTGCTCAGAGATGGTATTATTTTAATCTGTTACACAAAAGGTTAAGTATTATGACAAACTTCACCTTCATGACAATAAAATGTGTTGTATTGATTGAGTGAAACCTTGGAAAGCCATGTGAGGTCAATCTAGCTAGACCAGTTGGCCGCAGGCAGTGCTTCTGTGTTTGAAGCATGACGGCTCACTAACAGTCCTGAAATCTACGGTCTCAGAGCAACAGCATGATGGAGGGCGAGGCTGTTCTCTGTCTTATTTTATGTTACGCTCACACAGTAATTGACTTTCATGCTCACACGCCACAAGCTAGAAATACAACACTGGAACTGCCAGCACTGAGGTCAAGAGACGCAAGACAAGGAGGCAGACACTGTGGACAACAGCGCTCTCTAGTGTTAGCAAACAGAGTAGGAACTAAAGAATAAATAGAGTCCAGGCACAATGCATATGAGTAGGTATTTGAGGCGATATGAGACGGTGAATAGCAAATTTAATGCTAACTATAACAGCTAGGAGAGAGTAAAATTATTTTACAGGTTCTTTTTTAATACAAAAGGAAGCTCAGTGAAATTAATGTCATGCAAACTAGCAACTGATGGGAATTCCTTGCTGCTTCCTGTATCTAATCTGTGGTCACGTGACTTCAGATATTTGCATTGCTCACCATTAAACAGGATATTACATTTTTGGCTCAGACGGTCAGCACAGAGATAAACGCACAATGGGAAACCTGCAGGTTTTTGTGATAAGGGTGCAGAGAATAAGGGATCTCACCTGGTACGATCTCAAACAGGTGCCTTCCTGGTTCGTCTGGATTAGCTGTGAGTTCATTGACCAGGCATCCCTGCAGTGGTATACAGCCCTGAAACGTACAGGAAGAAGCTTTCAAATAGTTTCCCACCACAGAAGCATTGATTTCCTTTGTCTTTTCTCCACTTTCACTAGTTTCTCGACTTTTTACTTATATTTTACTGTAACTTTCCAGAAAACTGGCTAAAGAAAGAAAGAAAGAAAGACAAATATGAGGAGCTGGGCACACTGAGATAAACACTTGTGGTTTGGAGTGACCGTGACCACAACATGACCTGTGATGGATGTAAATTTCCTGGCTTCTGTGACGAAACACTCGGTCAGTTGGTAGTTTATGAAAATCTTATTTTAACAGGTAACCTTATCTATGGCCAATGTTTAGGATGCAAATGAGTCCAAGCCTGTGATAAAATCTGTTTTTGTGCCCCACTTGACTCCCTGCAGTGGCGACACCCTCTCTCGAGCTCTGCATTGATTATTGGTGTTCTCTGTTTTCAGTCACCTCTGCCAACGTGTTATCACAGCTTCCAAATAGTTAGCTTGTGGTCTCTATTCCTAACTAAACTCTCAGTTATTCTGGCAGGATATGGTGGAAACTCCAGGCTAATTTTAAGATCATTTGACAGACAGGTTCAGCTAGTACCTGTGTAACCCTCTGAGGTCTAAACCCAAACCTGTGTCATGTTTTCAAGGGTTATGGTTTAACTCTGTTAGGTCTAAGTCATCATTGATGATCTTTTTAAGTTGAAATTTGGCACGCCATTTGGAATGATATTAAGACTTAGGGTACTCCCATTAGGCAATCCAAAGTGTGGCCAAGCATGCTGGACCAACAGTGCCCGATTCTTTTGGGATTGCTGCAAATTGTGCTTGGGCAAGTGTGCCATGCCCTGACCTGCTCAAAGAGGCGTCCCTGGCTGATTGATCTGGAGTGATTGACCATGTCTAAGAAAGGATCTCCAGTCCTTTGTCAATAACCGACTCTGCAAACCTGAGGACTGGGTGTGACTGATTCCAAAAGCAGCCCCAAATGAGCCACAAAATAGCGCACAGATTTACTCGGATTCTGCAAGATTGCCTGTTTTTGCCATTACATCGTAATGAAATGTGTGCATGAGAGGCTTGAGTCTGACTTAGTTGCCTACTCTCACCCCCCCACCTCCTGTTTCCTCCCTCCTTATTACTCACCTCTTAGCCCCTCTAAAATTTTAAGCAGCTACTCCTGTGATTGAACAGGGACCCACACAGATTATCAGAATACATTATCCAGATCAATACCCATTTAGCCCCGAGAACTTAAGGCCAAGTGAGCTGTGAAGAGATGCCAGCGTCTGTAGGTCGGCTCCGTTAATCTCCACACTGGCATCCTCCATCAAACAGGCAGAAGAGTCTGCCAAACAGCCTCAGCCTGAGGGCCGGGCTGTCGCCAGCATTAGTCGCCATGGCAACAAATGGAAAGGGGTGGAAGCTGTGGATGGATAGAGCACAGGGGCAGGGCAGGATGGGTGTCCCAAGGGTGCTATGTGCTCAGAATAACACAAGTAGCTGGCTGGGGATGAATGACTAAGAAAAGGCAACACGTAACCCGAGAACACAAATCACGCAGAAAAGTAGGCTAGATAGCACTGTTTGTCCTTCCCTGCATTTTAACCAATGATACGGGAGCTGTGCGCACATGTAAGAGCTTCAAAGCAGCTGCAAACAGATGCGGCCATGCCTACTTTAACCTCGTTTGTACACAAATGCCAGTCAGTTATTATTCTAGCCTGGCCTCTCGAGGTTTGTTCACACTTTTATCTCACGTTGGCAACAGTGCAACATGCTAGCGCATTGTTACTCATGGACATTACGCAGTGCTGTTGATCGGTACCGTGTGCCTAGATCTGGACCTGAAGCACCCCAGACTCGTCCTGTTTGGCGCGTGCCATGCCCAGGTCTATAAACGCACACCTCTTAAAAGTAATCGGTGCCAGAAGTGGACGTAAAGCAAGAAACGAAGGAGCAGTAAAGAATTACTGGAACAGAAAGCCATGTACAATGCTGATGCTGCCAAGGTTTCGGAGCACCATAATGTCAGGCTGAAAAAATCTAAAATCATATGAAAGAAGTAAGTGATGGGGTTGGGCATAAATCAAATCAAAACAGAACCAAATATAAACTTTAAGGTTAAGCTGTTTTTAAGCTTTTTTTGTTTATTTTGTCAAAGGTTTTGTGTATTACAACCAGAGTCATGGTTGTGTGATGGTGGTGCCCTTTGTGTACCGCCAGATAACTGGACTCTGTTTGTTCAGCAGTGTATTCCACCCCCCCCAGACCAACACACACGATGAAAAGGAAAAGAAAACCCCCATAGATCCTCATCCAGCGCTGCCTTTCCTGCTACCAATTATCACATCCTTTCATCTTGGTAGTGGGGCAGTCATGTTCTCTTCGCAACACCCTCCCCACCCACGCCTCCACCCCCGACCACACTCCCGGCCTCGGGTTTCCTATTGATTAAGAGATGAGAGGGTTAAAAAAAAGGCCAGAATCACAGTTTCTCACACAACTCAGAGGGTGTGCATGCATGAGTGAGTTTGTGATGGTGTGTGTGTGGTGTGTGCGCGTGTGCAGTCAGCCACACACTACATGTGACTTGAATCCCTTGGAAGTTGCGAATCAATATGAGCTGGATGAGTATTGGCAAGCTCTGATTAAAGACTGTCATTTTTTCTCCTCAAAATTGGAGACAGAGAAGTGGGGAACACGTCATTGTGTGTGTGTGTGTGTGTGTGTGTGTGTGTGTGTGTGTGTGTGTGTGTGTGTGTGCGCGCGCATCAGTCAATCACGAACCTTCTGTCTTTTATTGTTGGATTACATCACTTCTTGTTGCATCTACAACTAAATCTATTAGCTTCACTGAATCTCCACCTAAAAGTCTTCGATATAAGTGTGTGTGTGTTTGTGTTTTGTAGGAATGCAGAGTGGGAAAATGTGAGTCAGCTGTTTGCCACAGAAGATGGCGTTCAACAAAGAAGCAATGGGATTGATTGAAGGTTTACTCTGTAGACAATTTTACAATGATGTACTAATGCAGTAGGAAGACAGGCGTCACACGCTGCCCTGCTGTTTGTACTAATGCACTGAAACGTCTGCTGAGTGTGGTGAGTTATCATTACAGCTGAGTGTTTTCATCTGACAGCAATAAAGCACACGCAGTGTTACTGTTGGTAGCGGTCACTCATTGTACATAATTAGCTCCAAGCCTTGATGTTTTTAACTATGAGAAGCATGAGGAGGCAGAATTGGAATTTGTTACTTACTTGCATGTAAATGTAAAAAAAATGAGGGGTTTAGCAAATATAAATAATAATATTGGATAAATATAAGCTTTAAGAATGTGCCTTATTGCACTCTGCACTTTTATTAGTCATTGTTCAAGTTTTTAGGGATAAATAGGGATAAATGTTTTTTCTGCGTATCTTCAGTGTGTCTTTGATTTATTACTGTTAGTTTATTGCTTTATATTTATTGCTTTATTCAAATGTAATCATTTGTAGTGGCAGTATCTGCCTAGTGCAGCTGCATAAGGTGCTCAAGAAGAAGTGATATTGATATATGTTGCATTTTTCCCACCCCTAAAGAAATGTTAAAAATCTGAAAATGAAATACTGAGCCACATATAATGTTACCCACATATATGTGGGTAACAGACATCTCCAAAAACGTTGGAGATATATGTGATGTCTTCATAAATCGAGCAGTTATTTGAAATTTACACA